TTAATGATAATGGTGTTTGTGTAATGATGGCACACATTTGTAAACTGCCCTGTTATGATACTTTCTCTGCCATTACCCACTTTCCTGGTATAGTGGACATCTGCTTATGCTTTTGGTATTCCATGAGGCTGTTTCAGCAAGTCTTTGAGATCTGAAATAGCTTCTCCTATACGGAAATAGTTTTGACCATGGTACTTCTCAGTGCTAACAGTTTGTTGTTGTTGTACTAATTCATACTGTTGTTATTGTTGCCATTATAATGTTTTTTTAAAAAAATATTTTTAATGATGAATAGATGAGGTAAGTAAACCTCTTGGAGCCATTTATAGTTTGGAATGGTGAATAACCCAGTAAATTAAAAACTGGCTCTACTGGGAAGGCACTTCCAGTGCTTACATATTTGTTACTGTAATTTTAATGCTTAAAAGTAATATATTATTTATTAAAGTTATTTTAACATCAATAAACTGCTGAAAGCCCACTAGGATTGGGCGGATGATAAACTGCACAAATAAGCAAACAACCAAATCAAACCACTTCTAACCTCCGATTCCCTGATTCCAGTGAAACACCATCTCAATGGAATGCATAATATATAAAACACTCTTTTCAAATAGCATCAGCGCTTTCTCATGGTTAAAACGGCTTAAAACTCACATTAATGTGAATTGTTGGTAGATGTACAGAGATCACATGAACATTTCCAAGTAGCCATGATGTGGGCTGCTTGTAGGGGAGTGTTGGGATGAAAAAAAAAAGAGAAATTTGGAGTATAAAAGGATTTCAGAAAAAAAGATGAAAGTTTACAAATAAGGAATCTTCAGAGGAAACTAATTTGGGTTCTGAAAACCCAGCAAAGAATGGCTGGTAACAAACTTTCCAGCTCAAAAAGTAACTTTGGAACAATTGTTCTGTTTTGCCCCTTGAATGAAGTATAGTCTGGAATAAAACATAAAGTTAATGACAGAAGCAATAGCAGTATGCTGCTATTACGAATACTTAAGAGCTGTCATTTTCTTTGTTTTTCAAGAGTGTTAGCTGCATAGTTCTGTTATACCATTTTTCCTTGAAAAAACTAAAATAGAAAAACTAAATAATCTGAATATTTTGTACAATGCATATTATGAAGCATTCTTTACTGATCTACTTTTAATTTCTAAGCATTGTTATAGGCATCTTTTTAATGAGCTTTATTTGTTTTCATATTTTGTGAAGAAGAATAGAAAATATATGAAAGTCCACTAGATCTTTGTTAATGCGACCCATTAGAGAGAAGAACTGTTGCGTAAAGATTCTTGAAACATCCAAGGTCAGACACAAAATCTCTGGGATGCATTAAGTGGGTTAACAAACTAAGCAAAGGCAGCTGAAGACAGATTTCCCCAGACTTGTGGTCCTCCAGGCTTGTGGTTCTCAGACTTCTAGAATTTGCAGCCAGCACGGGTCTTCTGGTGAGTGGTTCAACACATTTGGAAGGCAGAAAATTAAGGTAGATTTCCTCAAAGCATGCTTTGACTTCCATCTTGGAAATTCTTTAGTGCTGACATGCCTGTATGTCCGGAATGGAACAACTCACCCCAGCGATCTTGCCACAGCCGATTGTGGGACAATTCAATATGGGATAACTGAAGAGTAGAATTGCAGCTAACTCCAGCTAACTTGGGGATGTCTAACTTGAGAAAGTTCAGACCTAAAGCAAGACAAGGTCTGCTGCAATTCATTTGTTCTTCTCTTGAGTTATCCTGGGTTGAATTGTCCATGTTGAGTTGGCTGCGGGGAGTTGTCCCTCAGTGAGTTGTCCAGGGTGAGTCGGCTGGGATGAGACGGCCAGGGAGACTTGTCTTAGACCCTGTATGTCTTTGCTGAAATACTGAGAAAGTACTTCCTAACATGAGTTCTATGAAGTTGTATTATAAAGTATTTGGTCTATTTGGAGATTCCTTTTTTGGCAGGGAATTAATTGCAAACATTCTTGGCTGTTACTGTTGGCAGCCCTTGTTAAATCTGACTCCAATATGTACATGTCTATATCCATATATTTTTATATAAAAATAAGCAGTAGGTAATATTAATTACAAAGCTGTAATTAATGAAGAGAATTTTAAAAAGAAAGGAATCATTCTGCAAAGTTGGGGAGGAGCAAGCTGAAGAGGCAACCATGCAGTTTAACATATTCTTCTGAGAAAAGGACTTTCCATCTTGATATAAGAAAATGAGACATGATTACATCAAAAATATGACCAAAAAGGAACACGGGGGAGAAAGGAGAGCAAGTAGAAAGGGAAGGATCCAAACGCATGAAAGTTCAAAAGGAGGATCGTAAAGCTAAGCTCAAAAATGCAGAGATGGGACCGAAACAGGGTGAGAGCGAGAATATAGGAGGGAAAAGTGTAACACTTGGTCTGTGTAAAAATCAAAGAGGAAAAAGGCAGAAGAAAAAAGGTTGTTTTTGCAATCTGCATTTGCTTGGTTTCTTTTTTTTTTCAAAAAAAAAAAGAGGATCTCACACCTGATATTCCTCGTTCCATCCATTTCGGTTCACCAAGGACAATGAAGAAAGCCTCCTGCCTTTCGTATTCCTCCTCATCTACTATTTTAACCCTTATGGTCTTCCTGTAGGGACAACAAGAAAAAGATGGGTGTACAGTGGGTAGCTTGGTTGGGAACAAATTCAGCAGCAGCAGTCGACACTACTACCCCTACCACCACACCTTCTCACATGCAGCCTGCTTCTGCCACTGTCTTGGTGGTCTTTCACTTGCTTTCTAGGAGATATCAGTTGGAGCTGATCTTTAGATGAATTAGAGAACATTAGAGGAAGGAAGGAAGGACGGAAGGAGGAAAGGAGGGAAAGGCAAAGAGTGAGGAAGAGGAACCTGGTCTATAGTGATGGTTAGTGGAAGGTGACCTCTGCAGCACATTTAGTCAAATGTCACATGGTAATAACAGTTCATCAACTGGCTGAACTGTGGCTAATCCAGAACAGCCTACAGGTAGAGATGGGACAAGCATCTTTAGCATATTAGATAAAAAGCCAATTTTTCTCTGTCTTGAACAGTGGGTGGAGAGTGCAATAAGGCAGAATTAAAATATCCTTTTAACATACAGGCACACACATGCACAAACTCAGGCACAAAACAGCCAGGACTTTCCCATCTGGATCTTTTTCTCTGCAAAGGCAATTTGGTTCCCCCCCCCCCCCAAAATACCTGATACAGTAATTTTCTTTACTGAGAATTGATAATTCATTTTGGCTGACTGAACTGCTCAGCGCTTATGAAATTCAAAGTTATAAGGGTATGGGCAACATATAATACAACCTATGTGAGTATCATGCAATGGCACAAAAGACACCCTTATAAAAATGAAGTTGAAATTCTATACCCATTTAGCTAGGAGTAAATCCTATTAAACTCAGCAGCGTTCACTTTTACATCAACATGCTTCAGAATCGCTCAGACACTTTATTTCTTCTTCTTTTCTTACCTATTTTTTTTAGTATATGAACATGAAGAATGACAAAGAATGAATACTAATGGTTTCCCATTTTCCTTAGAAGTTATATATTTATATTAATTGGGTTTCTGATTGAAACCCTGGACCAGTTCTAACAATCTCTGTTGTTATTTTCTCAAGGAATCCTAATTATTTCCTTCAATTTGTAGAAAGTGCTAGATCCTGATAAATGCCCGTAGCCTCAAAATGTTGAGAGTAGAAATACAACGTTGAATTAGCTTTTTCAGCCAAGCAAGAATCTGTATTAGCCACAACTCTCCCATATAACCTCCAGAACAATGAGAAATCTTGAATGTATTTTTAGGATTGTGATTCTCAGTTTTCACATTTAGTCACATGTTTAGATTGATTGGAGCCATTTTTTGATCAAATTACAGACAATGAAGAAGCATTTAAGGGAAAGAGATTTTGGCAAAAAACAAAAACCCAAAACTGTATGCATTCTATACATCTAGTCTTCTACTCACAGGCTATTCACAGCAGCCTCCATATCAATTGGCCATACAGACATCAGGCTAATATCAAAATAAATGTGTGATTCTGAAGGAGCATTCTTGGGTGGTTCAATGAAAAAACATTTTTTTGTTCCAACACTTTATGCAAAATGTCATAGCCTAAATTAGCCTTTGAATTAATCAAACAATTTGTAGGGTTGCAAAAAGTAGGTTGAGGACAGGCCATTTAGAGACAAGCAAGCGTGTTTATACACATGAGTATAAAAGGGTTTGCAATATTGATCAGCACATGTGGGAAGACTAATTTCAAATCTCTTTTCAACTATACACACACACACACACACACCCCGTTATTGGAGGAACTGAGCCAAGTCATTATCTCTCTGCCAACTCTATCGCTAAATAAATAGCTTTTAATTAGAGGAAATATTTAGTCCCCTTCCATGGTACATTGAACCGGCATGGATTTGAAGTTAAAATGCTAAATGATTTTATCAGAAGACAAGAATGATATTTTTAGTATGTTGGCCCATTGATTCATAAAACATCTTGTTTTGTACAGAAAAATGAATAACCATTTTCTTTTGCAAGGCAAGAAACTATTATTAGTATGCAGATCTTGGGACAATGATAGGTATGCTAAAAGCACGCTGAGCTGGAGGACTCCCAATATGCATATAAGTTTGTATTGTGCTGCAAGGTTGAGCTCTATGGCCTATTTCTATAGTGTTGACGATGGATTTGAAAATCCCAATGCCCCATTACTTCATTGACATCCTTCAGTCAAATCAGCACACACACACACACACTCACGCCCGCACACATGCACTGCATTATCAGCTAAACAAAGCACCATCTTGCTAACTTCCATCAGTACCATGTGACAGGCTGTGCAGATACAGCGGTGTTAAGGATAGAGCAATTGGAAAATTAAAAAAAGAGGCCATTGATAGCGAGAAAAGAAAGGTAGGAAAGAAGAAAAAGAGGAAAGAAGAGTGTTAATGTTAGTTGGGAGAGCCAGTACTACACCTTTCTGTAAACTCATATCCATCATTCGAGGACCCATCAACTCAATGAAGAAAGTCTTGTTTTTTTCATACTCCTCCTCATCAATTACTTTGATGTGAATAGTTTTGCTGTGAATGGAAAAATAATAAATGTCATAATGGGAAGAAAGGGGTGAGCAAGCTGGGCAAAAGAGGGAGAAAAGAGAGAATTTAAATGGTCAAAGCTTACTCACCCATTATGGAAAAAAAAACACAAAGAATTTTAATGTTTATATCCTGGCTGGCTAATCTGGAAGAGCATTTGCATAGACAATGGAAACAGATCGTTAAAAAAATATTCCAGCAATAGCATCTCAGATATCCAGTCATCTCTAGAATTCTATTGACAGCTTTCACATTTAATTAAAAACAGAAATACATGTCTGTTGCTGTAATTTATGCAATGCATAGTGTACGTTTAAGGTGTTCTTAAGTAATTTGATGCAGCTTTAAGCATTTTTGCTTTACTAGAATATTAAAAAGCATATTATCTATCATCTATCTATCATCTAAAAAAGAGCCTTGGTGGCGCAGTGATTAGTGGTTACTGCAAGCTACTCCCACTGCAATTTGGCAGATCGAATCTCACCAGGCTCAAGGTTGATTCAGCCTTCCATCCTTCCGAGGTGGGTAAAATGAGGACCCAAATTGTTGTGGGCAATATGCTGACTCTGTAAACCTCTTTGAGAGGGCTATAAAGCACTATAAAGCAGTATGTAAGTCTAAGGGCTATTGCTATTGCTATTGCTATTGCTATCTATCTATCTATCTATCTATCTATCTATCTATCTATCTATCTA